TTTTATATCCATATAACATATACTGAGGCCACGAATCGGCTGAATTTAAATAAACGCCAGATCTATAAAATACCGGACAGCTGTTTCATGAAAAACTGTGATCAGTGGAGTTCATCAGTGTTGAGTGTGGGGAAGCTACCCACCGTAGCTAGTGAAATATGACTGCGTAATATTTTGAATTACTTGAAGTTAAACATGATCACTCATGGATGCCAGCTCAGTGATCAAACGATTATGCGCTTATCAGGTCCTGGACTTGAGCATCTGTGGTAGGGTCATGAATGCACACTACTGGGGAACCGGATACTATGACGAGACAGTTGTTCAGTTCCTCCTCGATTGCCCAACTTATTTTAGGTTGTGATTTCACCAACCGTCAACGAACTCCACAAACTCACTATATTGGTGTTTGACTCATGTAGATTAGATAGTTGACGCTTAGGAATTTTGGTAAAGTGACATTTTCAAACAGTGCAGTCAACACTTTTATATTTTTCGCATTAACTTACTTTTAATGAGGTTCTTTACTGATACTGCCTTTGCATTCTAATCCTACTTAATTACTTACCTACTCTTGTGTCACATAACATGTTATTCTCTGACTACCTATTTGAAAAATGATTCGAGTTAATCATTTAGCTGCAAACACGTTAAGACCTCCCTCAAATATTCATTCCTTTAAGTTACTACATTTCATTTTAACACAATGATCAGAAATCAGAGTCAAGAAGGGAAGAAGTCAAAATAATAATAGTGCCAACAATAATTGAAAACGAAACGTTGGAAACATAGTTTAAAAAAGCAGATGAAATCAAGGGTTAAAACTCAAAGTTTAGAAGATGAAGAATATATATTTGACATTGTGATAAATTCTAAGTCACGTCTCTAATAGACTGCGACCATATTTTGTAATTATTTTCTAGTTCTCGGACATAAGTCAGTATCTTCCCAGTGGCCTCACAGACTGATGTCTTTGCTCATTAAAGCTTCCCGCTCAATCTTAGTTTTCGTGTTTTAGAAACATGTACAACAGTAACAAAGTTGGATGACAACACAATAAAACTGATGCTTAGACATTTTCAACAGACAGTTTATTTTCTTTGCAGTTTTTACGAGAAACATTTTTCAGGTTTCCGTTTACAGCGTTCAGATTCATCACTTTCATTAGCCACTTAAGAATGTTTCTCCACTCTCAAGTAAATTCTCATCACAATGTCATTCAACACTATTACTTACATAATACATAAATCAGTTAATATTGTCTAAGAATACAAAGCCTAGAGGAAAATACTAATGAATAGATAGATTGCTGCTATTTGACTAGACAGTTCGTTTATGATATATGAAATTAGTAGCCGTTAAACAAAAGTGCACTTTCACAACAGCTGTGTTCATTATTTATTAAATAAACGTGTACATTAATAAAAAAGAAAGAAAATGTATATTATCTCATACTTTCCACAATCAGTACTCTCTAAAAGTGGGAATTTATCTGTTTTTATCTGTTGATATGTGATATTTATATTTGTACAATAAATAACAACTGTTCATTTATAGTTTTGTTCCAGTTTAGTTTTTGGATATTTCAGATAATGAATTGTATTGCGTAGTAATAATGATAATCATATAATTATTTATGCACACGGAACAATGTACACCAGTTTGTTTTTAAAGAAGAAAAACACATCTTTATTACAAGCCTATCCAAGTAGTCGTTGTATTTAAACACAAAAAAGAGACTAAATCAGCTGGGGTATTAAAACCATCTGTTATGTTCAAAAAATGATGATATTGCGATTAGGATGATGAATTAAATAGCATAGACTAAGTTGTGTCTTTATACTGACTGTATTAATAAAATGTAAAAGTTAACCCACTAAGCATTCGTCTGACACCCCGAGAATGTGATAAAATGAGAGTTCTGCTCTATTTAACTCAACCATTTATTTTGAAGGCAAGCCATGGGAAGCGTAATATCACATCAAATATAATTATTATTTGATGACTATTTTTATACTTGTAGTTTGAAAAAGTCATTGATAGCATCTCCCGAAAAAAGAGACAACAAAATAAACCCATATTCAGTAGTTTAAATAACCAGTTACTTATGATTCCTTTGAAAGCAAGAGTGAGAGACGTGTCCGTCCGACTATGATTGACTTCGAGTTGTTATTTACATTCTCAAATTACCAATTCATGATGCTTTTAAAAAGTTCATTTGAAGGTTTGAACCTTCTTACAGAATTCAGGACTAATCGTCAATAATTTCATGAATTATTGAAACAATTTGATTAAAACATCCCTGATCTTTTTGATACAGTTGGCTATATACAAAGCCTATCCATACAGTTTAGTTCTTGTTTCTTGTATTTAAGAGCTAAGATGGTGATTGGATGTAGTCAACAGGAAGCCCTCGACCTAGGTTTCGTGCTATTTGGCACTCGTCAGCAAGTGGTACCTGTAATCTTAAGGGAACTGATGCTCCCTAACGGATTCAATCCCGTGTCACCCAGACCCACAGTCAGAGAAGTTACCACTAAGCCATCCGGACCGCGACTGACCTCCTGTAGAACTGAGATGGACTTACGATTGAACGATCACTGGGTGGTGACCAATGTCATGTATGTCAGTTCCTTCTTAGTGCAGATCTAATCCTATCGACTAAGTTGCAATGTGGCCACCAGTTTAGGTGACTCGACATTGTACTTAAGAGCACTTCATGGCACATCTTGTCGTTCTTAATAACATTTATTAGCTTTTTTGTGGAATGATTCTCATAATCAAAAAACGTTTCAGACAGCTTGCAAAACATCAGCACGACAAACATAGTATTCTACTGATGTCTCATGAACCTGTATAAAACTTTTGGACAAATCTACTACGATTATTTATAAGGCGACTCAATATCGTTGTAAATTGACACAGATATCTTAGAAATATTACTAGCATCCTCTGGGATCACCGGGTAAGTAATAGTGAGGTTAGACGTAGGGTATTAGGGAATGACGGTTAATCAGTTGACGATGTTGTGAATCTTCATCGACTTAGATGGTTGGGCCACGTTTTACACATGCCTGACCACCGATTACCACGACGCGCAATTCTGATTAGTTTTGGGGATGGTTAGAAGAAAGTTAAGGGCGGCCAAGCCAAAAACGTGACACCATTCCTTGGAGTCACTAACTTCTATTCTTAGCCACGTTGATAGATGCCGACTACTTAGGGTCTGCGCGACCATCACAACCAGTGATTGGAGACTCTGGTTGACATGCCACAGAATGGACCACAATGGTATAGGTGTATACAGTCTTTGTTTTTGCCTAAACCATTGGATTAAAACTAAATTATACCCTTCCTTCTACGAACTAAATTGTTCTTTCTGTATTATATCTTTGTATGCAATCTCTGTTTTATATGTTACTACCATTGCAGTAACTACTTCTATGAATTTAGTGTTCATCTTATTGGGCTAATAATGTGTATCAATTTGGAGTGATGCCTATATGTGCCTGGTTGTACGTTGTGACTGACTGAAATTTGCTCCGTTATTAGACTACATTTTTGACTAAATATTTATACGGAATAATCCCTCAGTTCATTTAGTTGAGTGATAAATCATGTAGTAAAGCTCTGTCTTTGACATTACTTTCACGTAAAATGCAGACAAGCAAAAGTTCTTGGTCACAATCAAGTTACCTTGAATGTGGAAAACACTTTATTTTTTAAATAACGTTTGGATTGTTTTCATTACTAACAATAAAACCGATACATAGATTAATGTAAGCCTACAAGTACCAAAATCTTGTAAATAATATCAGTCACGGAACATTTTTATTCGGGCCGATTGGAAATGGAATAACTTGTTAGAATGAAAAAAATATTTTATTTTATGACCGACTTTGATTAAAAACACTTATTTTGCATGAAAACGAATCGCGAAATATTATAAGTAAATTAGAAGTATTCAAATGTATTGGCATATTCATAAACACTTAGTGTTATCTAAGTACTCAAATTGCAAAACAATCATTATAGTATTTACTTTGCGGTTAAACGACATTATTAGCACGAATTCATGCAAAGTATATGCAAGAATAAAAATAAAAAGCTCTCTGATCATATTTTATGATAGGACTTGTTTACTAAATTGATGTATTAAGCAATAAGATTCATTAGATAGTCTTTAAAATACGTTTTACACACAGTAAACGACAGTAACTTTTTAAAGAATATGGTCAGACATGAACAGATACAATGATCTTTCAGCCATACTTTTATTTGGAGAAGTAAGATAGGATGCTACTTTTTGTACTAATCGTAGTCACTTTAGTAATTACAGTATGTTCGGTCTAACAAAACTTACTAAAACTTTACTTAAAGACCGATAGTGATACGGATTTGCTAAACAACAGTCCCATGCTGAATACTTTGGTTCGAATATCCATAGTCAGTAATAGGACACATTTTTAGGAATAGGGTTTATAGCTTTAAAAAAATCGTAAGATCTCTTAAAATGTGTGATCTTTCGTCAGAACGAATAAAACTTTGATGACTTAACAATGGTTTTTTCACACTACAGATTACATTAACTGTTTCCACCGTATTATTACGTGATCTAAGAATTAAGCTTACTGATTACAATGAGCAAACGTTCTACCGACGGATAGATATCTAATTTGGCAGCACAAAGACTTAAGAAAATAAACCCGTACACTGATCAAAATACTGATTCTTTGAAAGGATTTACAGACAAGGTTTCGATGTAGCTTAACATTAGAACATTAATAACTGATTTTAAATTAATAAAGGATCCATTAAGATCAAACCTTTACCTCGGGCGAAAAGGTAATACTATTAAAAAACCAATCCAAACTTTAACTTTTACTCAAAATAATCTAGAGATATTCGTGATGACTTATTACGCCAAATAAATGACAAATTTCGCACGTACGGCGAGAAAAAAGAAAATTGGCATAGTACTAAATCGAGAGAAAACTTACATGAAGCAAAGACGAAGTGGATTTCTGGAACCTTAAAAGAGCCATTTCAGCTAGCTCTCGAATCAGAATGCTTCCGTTTCCACATGGGACAACAACTTTAACATCATCAAAGCACACAGTTACTTTCATTATTACCGATAACTCGAACTCTTAAAATTTGTTGTTCACATTTATCAAGAATAATGTACACCTTCGTGATTTTAAGGTTTGAACTTCCGAAGGAATAAACTTTACATATGTCTTTATGCAAGAAATGGACAATTCATATTGAAATTGTGTATCTGTCTTCAATAAAGAAGCATCTGGTCTATTTACTTCATCAGAGAAAAACAAAGTTAAATAATAATTGTGTTTACTTCCAGTGTTTTATGTACTAAAAGTCAGTGATAATTGTATTTGTCCCTCGAATAATCTAGCAAATGAAAACACATCTATAGGCAACGGTAATAAGTAACGGCCTAACGAGTTCAACGATGAAAATTGCTATTGATCCATTTAAAGTATCTAACGCAAAGCCAGGGACTTAAAGCATTTATCAATAAAGACCATCTGGTTTTTAGATTGAATTTCAAATATAAAGATGATGTGGCTTCAAAGTATCATGAAAATGTTTTGACTGGGATAAGTCCCACATGCCATCAGCAACAGAATACTGTGGAAGAGAACAAATCATCTTCCAGCAGAAAACTTAATTAGGAGTAGATGCTGGACGTGGATGGGATATGCATCGAGGAAAACATCAAACCGCTTCACGAGACAAACCCTAATTTGGAATCCTGAAGGGAAACTGAAAGGAAAAAACAATAAACACTGCGTCGGGAATTGGAAGACCTGGAAAGAATGAATAACAACTGGAAACAACGGGGAAGGATTGTCCGCTACAGCACTCGATGGAGAACAATGGTGAATGGCCAACTCTGCTCCACGATGAGTAGCAGGAGTAAGTAAGTAAGAGATAAGTAACGTCACATTAAGATAGGTGTGCTTATATCATTTAAGCTTATTTTGATTTATTTTTACCTAAACATAAAGCTTATACCCTTTCACTCTTAAAAGCGATGAAAACCTGAATGTGAAGACAAACATACATTTGTCTAGATTCTATTGTCTCATATTAACACAGAGGAGCTGAAAGTAATAAAATGAAAATTTTACTTAAGCTTCAGTTATGAAAATTTCCTCATGTTGTGTCTTCTGCTGTAAATGGTTGAACTGAGGACTATTTTTTACGGACAACATAAACGGAGATATGTAGGACACACAGTCGAGTAAACATTCAAGAGTGGAACTTGATTTATGATTTAGAGGATCATACATGATGGATGTATCTGGGTCATTATCTAGCATTTCGAATTAGGTTTTGATAGATCTCAGTGCTTTTTCTAATGTAAACAGGACATCGCTCCATGGTTCATCAGGATATACAACATCTCCATGGTTGAAGAAATGACTAGTTTTTTCTACCATGAATCCATCGTTAATATCTGATTGTCCTTTCTGTACGACCACTGAGACTCTAAAGGGTATCTTTACAGGAAGAACTGAAAGTATTTGACTGATTAATAGCTGTTACTTCGAATACCAATAATTTCACCGTGTTTTTGATACATTTGTTTTATCCAACCTTCGAAATAGTTTGTTTATAACTTGACCCCGTACATTATCAGTTTCACACTGTTTTTGATTAGGAAATAGCATAAAATATATCTCCGTAGATTTTTACGTGTTATCGTGGTATTGGTTGGAGTTGTTAAGAATAGGCGTTGAGGTTAATAATCGCGTGTAAACATTTATTTCTATAGCATAAAGGGTTACTTAAACGTTTTCTACGGTAAATTACTGCACTGAAAGACAGAGTGACAGTACTATCGTGAAGAGTATATGTTGATGAACATCAGACAGAATACTGCCTGCGGAAGTTTTTCTCACAACATTTTAGCGTTGAAATGCATCACTGTCGGCAACATTATTTTATGTTAAAAGGCTATCTGAAGCTTTTATATCCTTTGTTGTAATACACACAGTAACTACAAAATTAACAGACGATACACTGTCGTTCACGAAGATAATTGGGTTTTTCCTCGCAACCGTAGTTTCTACGCTGGAAACTGGTATCAAACCAGTCAAACCTACAGTTCTCTGCCAAAACTTACGGCCAAAATTGTTAGGGCTGCAGCATTATTATTGGCCTACATATACAAGCCATACTCCAGAAGCTAAATTATAAGAACAAAAATTCCGTCATCACTTCATAAGTTGCGACAGTTGTTTATGAAATTTAAGGTGGCGAAATTGCCAGGGATCATTTGTTGGACATTCTGTGTTCACAGCTCAAAGGCACAATTTGTCCAGAAAACGAAATTACACAGGTGATGGATGTGGTGATCCAGGCTTTCTCATACGATACAAGAGATGAAGTAAATAAGCGTGCATGGGAATCCCAAGAAAAAGTGAGCTAAATTAAATTCAAGTGTATTATTGAATATCTGTGCACGTCTTTATTATGCTTTGTAAAAAATTTGCCCTTAAATTACCATTTACTGTATATTTTCTTTTCATATTGCTCCATAAGTGTTTGCCGACTTAACAGTAAGTTTTAATTGAGTAAACATTTCTACACTGCCTTTGTACACTATTCCCATTTCACATAGCACCATAGACTCTGGCAGCGTAAACTCACAGGCTTAATTATGGCTACAAAATTAGACATTCTTTTGCCTACTATTAACATGGGAAAATTTTTAATATTTCGTTTACTACATACAATACTAACGTTGTAGAACACAACCAACGAATGTTTGACATCTATATGATGAACATACCAACAACCCAGCCACATTTGAAAGAAATATGAAGACGTAAACGCTTTCTTAAAAATGATTTTATTTTTCTAATATTTTTACATACAATCTTATTTGTAACAGATCAGTCTTTTGGCTATGGCGATGCCTATGTATGGCGTTTATCCTTGCAAGTGTTGACACTATAGTAATGTGTAGATAACATGAATAAGCTGTGTTCCGTTTTCACATTATATTGTCGTTTACTTAGTCCCACGTGGAACGCTTATACGTGTAAACATTCACTTCAAAGAAGAGTGCACTATTTTTGAGATGAAGTTCTGTCATATTCGTTATCTTGGTACTGGACGACTGAGGCTAAATTAATTGAGTAGGAACTAGAATTCCAGTGTTCGTGAATGTATGTGTAAGTACTCGAACTGACCAGCATATACTGCAGTAATAGACAGTCAATGTGTAATATCATTGAGTAAACACAAATGATCTAAGATAATAGTAGCGTAGGTCTCTTTTAAACTTGATTGGAATGACACGGACATTTAGAAACACCAGAAATTGTACTTCAATGGAAACAAAAGGTTGGATCATAGTAGCGCACTTGACATATCCATTTTACATAATGAAAAAACATTATATGCGAAAATGAGCATACAATCACGTGCATTTAGTATAAATGAATTGAACATTGTAGTTCCCTTAATATCAACGTTTACATCTTAGCATATTTTTACTGTATGGTGCGTTAAATCATATTTTATATGAAAGAATTCTGCGGTTCCTTGCTTCAAGTTATCTTCTCCGCAAAGTACAGAATGACAATGCAACTGTATATGTTACAAGTGCTTAACAGACGTTAACAACAATCGTTATGTCCCGTAGTCTGCAAATTATCACTCGACAAAATCGTCAAATTAAACACCAACTTATTCGAACTTAGCGTTATGTCAAATCAACGACGAGAAGCCTGGGTTCAACAATGAGTCTCTATTGGTTCTTGCGTTTCCCTACCCATTGATTCCAGAACACGATTTCAGCTTCCATTGTATGAATCATGCATTTCAGACATACTTATGGTCAAACCAGGACGCATCACACCATAAAATAAAGAGCAACAGTTATACAATATCGGTCCATAACTGCCTGTGAGTATGAGAGACTGCAACTAATAGACCGAGAATAACTCGAGGATGGTAAGTCGTACAACAGTATTCAGTAGGTCAAATAAAGGTTTATAATAAAAGAAATATGAATATGTATAATTTGGTTACTTAGTGTGCGGGACTGCTGTACTTATTCACATTAGTTCATTAACGATACCCATGACCAATAGAACCTGCCCACTTGTAAGGTGCAAACCAAGTAGGTTCCTAAGTAACTTGAGGAAATATATCCTCACTATAACATGGATACTTACATTAAGCCAAAGGAATGGTTAATCTTTAAGACTCCGATTATGTTACTAACCCTGGGGAACCTTAATCAAGTTGCAGGTGAGTAAACACATAATAACCGGACAGAGCACGGGAACATTTCGCCTCAACAACTTGTGGCTGGGTGGGCCGTTCACATCATTTCCTCAGGCATCTTAGTTTACTTTTCTTACCCTCCACTCTCTCACAAGCCGCAATCCTAATACAGAGGACACGTTCAGCAAGTTAGGATGAATGTTGCAAGATAATATAACAAGCTATTTAGATATATGACATCCACAGACTATTGACGAATACTGACAGAGCGTTAGTCATCAATGATTGAAAGTCAAACATCGAACGAGTTTTTATTTCTCCCTTGGGCTGTGGAAACTAAACTGGATCGTTTTTGTGAGGTCAGTTGACCGAACCAACATTCATATAGAAGTCCATTCTAGGAGGAAGCTAATGTAGCAAATTAGGGCAACTGATTAAGAGTTGACCGAAAACATCTAAGGAAATACCACAACACTAAAACCCAAGTACTCATTTTCTTCCTTATTTTAAAAAGGGATTATACTTACCATTATTTTATGCCGAAAAGTTTTGTGTGTTTGTAAAAGTAACCTCGCGCTCCGCTGTGTACAGTCACACTATCCAAATGAAAACCAACTTACTCCGGTTTCTTCTATGAATAAAACGAGGGACACACACTCATACAAAAATACCACATGTGTTGAACACATGACCGCATGGTTTCATCACTATTACCGCCTGAATTTGCCTGTGGTCACTACAGAAACGCATAGAGTGATATTTTAAAGTTTTCTTTCTAGAATGATTGCTCTGGAATTTAATTTCATTCATTCTCGACCACCAGTTGCTTGTCGCAGTGCCAACCCCCGTGAAGCGCTCCAACTCCCATACTGAACATAAGAATCTTACTAATGTTACTATTCTAGTGTATGAAAATCGCCCCCCTATTTATGTGACCAATGTGTTTTATAAGACATCGACCTAATTGTATGACTTGTCACAGTAAAACCTATAGCATTTGTAACAATCCGTCCTTGTCTGTAAACTAGCATGCCTCGTGTGACACATCTTTATCTGAGAATATATATTATTACCACTTATTTTTTCTTCATTACAGATATATGACCTCCGTAAGCTGGTATTTTTACGGTCCCTCTCCATAATTAATAAAAATTGTCATCACATCATTTTAAAAAATTGCAATTTTTAATTTATTGTGTTGAGTGGTGAAATGCTTTTC